GTACTCTTATTTTAACCTATAAACCTTGGGTATCCTCCATGATAGAAATGAGAAGTGACTTTTTTTTCATAAACCCATATATAGGACACCAGTAAATGTTCGAGTAACGTCCCCTTTATAATGAACTTATAAAATACACAGGGCGTGTGTCCATATTATGTTTAGAATTTATTATTATTATTTTTTTTTTTAATTTAACTTATTTTATTAAATGTTGTATGCTGTTATTRGATTTCTGTATCTATATTCACAACCTGCAGTAACATAACTTGATTTTTGAATAGAAAGATTGGGGTGGGGGGAAGGTTGATGATGAAATTAAATTTATGGATGATAAAGCTAGACTAGTAGACTATATAGCCAGGTACATGCAATTTGCACCTCTAACAAGTACCTGTATGCTTTTATACATATAAATAAAATAAACTATAATATAAATATTCTATAATTATAATAAGATCTAATAATTGTCTTCAGAAATTTAAGAACTTTTTAATGATACACTAGATATCTGTGGATAAAATAAGATAAAATGAGTTATGATTCTAGGTGTTGCAGTTTTTTTGTTCAGCCATTTTAGAGGTCGTGGGACATTAATTCGTTCCTCGATCAAACCAAATATAAATCTGCTAAACCAGCGGACACAAAGTCCGTGCGCCTTTGTTCCAGTAGTGATTCAAGTCTGAGTATTTGAGTAATACTCGTATGACTGAATCGTGAGGTGGGTGAACAATTTTCTGAAATTATTTATTGCTTGAAAAATAAAAATAATAAAATACAAAAGTTCTTAGAAGGATATAATATATACTTCTGATTCAAACCATATATTTACGTGGACGATGGGATTTATCAGCTGATAAATTACATTTATTCCATAATTTGAGTTTCATCATACGGACTGTCATTTGTCAATTTGGTATTATAATCTTAAATATAATCTAAATCAGCATAGGCTAGGTCACTAGGACCAATTAGGACCAAAAACAAAAATAAATTTACGCCTCCAATTATAATGAAATTGTAATATATACATTATATTTACTTATAGGCTTTTATTTTAAACGGTCGTAAACAGAAGACATGGAACACTTTTAAGAGACTTTTTTACCCTAACTTTTCCTAGAAAACTGTATAATGCCTTTTCACAAATCCAAATATTTAAACATTTCACTTTAAACAGGTATTACCAACGCTTTGCTAATGTACTCTATTCAATCATTCAATGTTCGCAGCAGATCTCGTGTAATTTTTTTACTTTTTTCAAAACATAAAAGGAACGTATTCCTCATTTCTCACCTACTCTAYACGTCTGTACTCTTGGCAAATGTACCTATACAATTAAATCCTTCAAAAATAAAACGATTTTCAAGTTAAACATTTCTACCGTATAATCATTTTATAAATGTTTTGAAATAGAGATTTTACGCGRTTTTTCATTATTTTCGACAGCAAAGATTTGTTTAAAA